TTATATAAGGTCACTAACTTGTGTTAACTTTTATGTTCTTTGGTTGTGGTGTTAGAGTTTTTTATTTTTTTTTTTTTTTTTTTTTTTTTTTTTTTTTTATTTTTTTTTGTTTGTTCTTGTTTTGGTTGTTTTCGATAAGAATAGTTTTTTTTTTTTTTTTGGTTTTGTTTTGTTGTTTTAATTTTTTCTTGCAAAACTTATTAAATTACAGTGTTTTCCTTTTCTTCTTATTATTTTTTAACTTTGTCTGATTTCTCAGCGCATTTTTTACTGTCCTTTCTGAAACATATTTAAAAGAAAGTAGGCTTAAACTTGTATCCTTCTTTCACAAATGCTGTAATTTAATTCCGTTCAATTTCTGACGTTATTCAAACCACTTGCAAACCACATAGGTAAATGCTTTCCCTTTTCATGAATATGCCGTCAGATGAAATCGATTGAGAAACACCTGTTTCAAAGAATTGAATCTGAATTTGTTCAATCTTGCTGTGGCGTTAGTCATATTAGCCTTGCAAATCGCTTATAGCTACCTGCTGTAGACAATTTTCCCTTTTTCATGAGCAAAACTTGTTGTTAAAGAAAAATGTTACATCATCTCTCTGTATTCGAGGAAAATACGGTAGCTAGGTAACAACAACAAAAGGGTTGGCCGATTCACAATTTTTTAAACTTTTATTGATTCCCGCCAAGAATAAATAAGAATGAAGTGAAATTAGTGTGTCACACACGCAGGCACAAAACTAGACCTCATTGACATGAAGTGCATGCCTTTAAAGCCATTTACACTCTGATCATACATTGTGCAACCAGAATTGCGTACAGGGCTTGATCGTGAAGTTTAAATATTAGAACCGGTGTAATTCATGACTCTCAGCTATCAGAATCAGCTTGGGGATTACTTGTTGAATGATTAAACGGTTGGTTATAAAATCGGTTAAATAAAGATGCTTTCATTATTGTTATTACTTAATCCTTAATTTGTTGTCTTCCTAGATATTTTCAGGTCAAACTAGTAAGGGAACACGCTGTGTTAATATGCAGTTATTCATCTTCATTTGCCTAGCGTATTTCTACCTCAGCGATGCGTGCTCTCAAGTGGGTGAAGGTATGCTATATAGAAACCGGCAACTCGACCACTTAAAAAAGATTTTACACCCTAATAGAGATACAGTAAATATATTGTTCCAAAGAGCTCATGAACAAAAAGAGTGAAGACGTTCGTTTAGAGTGTGACATTGGTAAACGTGAACCTGTTAAATCGAAGAGTACAGAGAGCAGTTATTTTTCTACTGTTATCCTTTTATTAGGACCGTTTACAAAAGTCGTGGCTTGACTGTAGTACGACTTGATTTCAGATGGCGTATTTATGTCAGTCAAAAGAGGTCTAACTGTATTTAGTTTATAACTCTAGTCAGATCCAAGCTCTCAGTCGGAAGAAAACAAAAAAGAAACGTAAACTCCGACGCTAGTGAAAATCGACCTTCTAAAGCTAATTACTAAGGACGAGGATTATGCCTTCAAAGGAAACAATATTTTCAATTCACTGCAATTCATTCATTGTCATTATTAAATATCACCATTAATAATGCGCGGGGCATATAAAGATGCAAGCTACCAAATAATTTCGTATATGTTCTTATGGAGCGTTGCTGGATTGCAGAATTAGGAAGGAGCCTTTTCCTCGAGAAATTCAGAGGATTTAATTTTGAATGGTCTAGCAGACGATATTCCTCCAATCAAATAGCAGCCGCCTTTGTCGAGTTGTATTGTTCTATTCCTGCTCTGTTTATAGGCAGTTGAGCTACACTTTTTTACATAATTTATATTGAACACGAGAACGATTAGTTAACTTCTTGATGAAGGGAAGTAGTTACTTTTTCCGTCTTCACCTTTAACATCGCTGTTAATTCCATGCCGGTAAATGGAACCAAATCGACTTTTCTCTTTTGTTTCTTCTAAGTAACCTGAATTATGATGCTTGCTCTCTTGATAACTTTTTCAGCTCCTCTAGCTCCTTTTCTGACTATCAACATCCTTGAATTCCCGGATGAGTACGGGGTGCCAGTGGGCTACAACATAACAATAGTTTGCACCGCCGAGCGTGCAAGGCAATATCTCGGACATCTAGATTACTCCCTGCCGTATTCGGTCGAATTCTATTTGAATGGCACAAAAAAGAATCAATGCGGCGGTCACCCCAGCGATAGAGAAGAAAGAAAAGTTTGCTCCTATGTCATCCGCAATGCATCAAAAAGCGATTCTGGCGAATACACCTGCTGGGCTAGAAACTCCTGGACCTGCACATTTGGGTCTATTCAGCTAGATTTCAAAGGTATTTAGCAGCTTCATTTTAATCTGTTCGTTCATAATTCTGAAAATGTCCTAACTTAATTGGGACATGCGTTATAAAATGCGTTTTTAAGCACCTTGTTTTCATGATGATTGTTATCATCGTCATCATCTCTATTATTGTAATTATTATTAATTCCTCTTTCGAAGGGCTTTTTCTGGGCAAACGAGAAGAAAGAAGAGACTTGATTTTGACTAGCTCCAAAGAAAACTAGGACGTAATACCAGTTGCATTTATTCAGTTTGAAAGGGCTGGAAGTAATTGAAGTCCTGACAGCCTATCCTTCCTTCGCTATTAACTTGGTTAAGAGTATGACATTACTGTTTCCTCAATTAGTAAAATGGGAAGAAAAAAGAGACACAAAAAAAGGCTAGCTCCTAAGTAAACCATGACGTAAAAAAGGGTGCAATCATTCAACAATTTGAACGCCTTAGGGCTGGTAGCAATTGAAGTTCTTAGTAACTATATATGACTGATACCGGTTACAGGTTATATAGCCGGGCTCGCTAATATAAAATTAAGAACGTCCACGCTTTAGTTTTCAAAAAAGTGGATTTGCTTTTGTTGTTCATGCACTAGTAATATTATGGACTGTACAAACAAAGTATGGTGAATCTATGCTAAGCCTTACCATTCATGATCCCGCAATTACGCTTGCTTGTTATCCATTTTCCTCTCTGGGATACTTTTCCGCAATTATTTTTAGCAAAATAAGCTAGTACGAAGTTAATTGCTTTAGCCGCAGAAAACAAAAACAAAATAAAAGGGTAAACCGGGCTAGTAATTGGCAAAACTTTTTGTAAACTACGATAATCTAAACTATCAAAATTTCCTCTATGATTCAGACCCAGTATCACCAACTTTTTCCCTCGATCTGCCTCGACAAGTTACTGTTCCCTCTACAAGCAAATTCAACCTGACTTGCCAAGCATCCGGAATTCCGCTGCCAACCATCACTTGGTTTAAGAATGGAAGTCCCCTCCTGCATTCTCCAATTAGTACTGTCAAGGGTCATTCCCTATTACGTTATGAGTCGATCAAAAGAGAAGACAAAGGGGATTACTGGTGTGAGGCGATCAATTTTGCAGGTTGGAAAAGGTCATCGACTGCAACTCTCACAGGTAAATATTATCATTTTTGTATCACGGATATGTCCAGTGCTTCAGAGGAAAGATAACGTAGGGGCCCTCCATAAAACTAACAAGTACTGGATATTATATAGCTGGAAATTTCTTCCCAACAGCGCTCTTTCATTATTTACTTCGGGGTCACAACATGACATCCAACAATAAAACTGTTTCCCGCCAAAATCTCCGAGCGGGCAACATCGCAAAAAATCTATGACGTTAGAGGGTAATACGGAATGTTGACCGACAACCGCGGTTACAACGAAGTTAAATGAATTTTCTGCTTCAAAATTTCCAGCTATATAATAAATCAAAAAAGTTCTCAATGTTTCCCTCGGCCTCCCCTCGTGAAATATTGAGATTCTCGGAACCAAAATTAGCTGTTTCCTCTCGGGACCAGTCATTAAGTGTTTATTGTTTGCCATTGCATTACTACATGGTTAGATTTTATATCATTAATATAAAATTCGTTCGCTTGCTTTATGCTTTAGTATTGTGGAAGCCCTTCTTCACAATGCATCCTCAAGACAATACTGTGAAGTTACAATCTGGGACTGCAGTTGTAGCCCTAAAATGTGCTGCAGAAGGCTTTCCGCCTCCAGTTATAATCTGGTTAAGAAACAACTCGACAGTCGTCAACGACTCCGTGACTAGCAATGGAAATGTTTCTACTCTCATCCTTGTTTTACGTACTATAAAGGAAGACGATCCTAAGTATATGTGTGTGGCAACAAATGCAATGGGAAGAACTTATTCCAGCGAAGCAGCGTTGACTTTCGCAGAGAAACCCACTACAAAATCTCTATCAACCCTAAAAGGTAACAAAATAAAATATGTTCCAAGCTTTCAAGAGGCTTTAAAGTCTGTTATATTGAACACAGTTTTGATAATAAACCGACTGCTTTCGTCTCAGCCGTTCAGCCGGACGATCATACCCAACCTACTTATGAAATGACTCCTGGGTTCAAACCTTTCACGGTAACAAACAGATTAAGAATTTAATTTAATTGCTGTAAATGAAAGAGTGGACTTACAATGGATTACAATGGGAAACAGCGCAACCGGACACATGGGAATGGTTCGAGAAACAGAGTGTTCGTTGAATATAAATGCTACGCTAGAAAATTTACCGATTCGACATGTGGGACAGCAAGTGTCTTGGTTCGAAGACCATCTCTCTCACCGCGTCTAAAGGGTCGCCGTTCTCGGCGTCAACTCTGAACCTCTCCCTGTATTATCAGGCGTGCTGCAATGATCAAAACTTGGACCACTCTTGTTCCTCATCGTATATAAGGTGGTCTTCTCGAGCTCTCAATTTAATCCTTGACATAGAAGATTTTAGCAGCGCACAAAAAAATTCATGTTGTCTGTGCCGTAGCGGTCCGAACCAAGCAAAGGTTATAAAAAAATGAGCTTTCTTCCTATTAAGAACGTTGCATCCCTTTTAACTGCTGTAAATGCACTGTCTTTTAAAAAAGGATTCAATCACAAAAATACCTCATTTTCTCGACTTTTCGTAAGCC